CCATCGAGTCGGGTCCGACCCATAGCGACCCTGTACAGGGTTTCCGAGGGTGTAAATCTTTACGGGAGTAGAAAGCCTCATCTTTCTCCCGCGGAGCGGCTGGTAGTTTCGAACCACTGACCTTAAGGTTCGCAGCCCGATTCGTAACCACTACGCTACCAGAGCTCCTATAAAGTGCCTGTAGACATCCCACCCTGCAAACGAACCTCCTGCCCAAAGGCATTAAGCTTTACTTGCTCTGTAGGCGAGGGAACCCAATGCTCTGTCTCATGCTCTGACCCTTGCTTCTGCTGCTGCCTCTCCTCTGCCACTCCTTTGGTGTCATAGCTCTGTCCCCTGTGTCAAGGATGCTCAATGTATACGGATCTTGGGGTCCAAATGACTCATTCCACTTCTAGCTCTTTTTCTTGACATCCCCCGCTACTACTTCTGAGATGCCTCTTTTTATACTCAGCAATATGGCAAAATTGACCAATACCCACATTTGTTGTTGCTAAGTGCTGATAAGTTGGTTCCAGTTCATAGCAACCCTATATATAGGGTTTCATTGTTATTGTTGTTGTTATGTGCCATGGAGTCGGTTCCAACTCATAGTGACCCTGTACAGGGTTTCTGAGGCTATAAATCTTTACGGGAGCAGAACGCCTCATCTTTCTCCGCTTTGGTAGTTTTGAACTGCTGACCTTGAGGTTGGCAGCCCGACTTGTAATTTAGCATTCCAAAGTATTACAATTACAATTAACACTATTAATAGTAACTCACAATTGAATTATATGATCCTATCATCATTTCTTCCATTAGGAAAAAGTAATTTGTTGGAAGTTACAAAGACTGTGGCTAGAAGAGACATAGTAAATATGTTTAGTCACTAAAATCTAGTCACTAAAGCTTATATGGAGTCCTGGTGTGGCACTGTGGGTTAATGCACCAGACTGCAAAGCCGTTTAAACTGCAAGATCAGCAGTTCAAACTTACCAGTCACTCCTCAGAAACCCTATACAGGGTCGCTGTGGGTCAGAACTGACTCCGAGACACTTAACAACAACAACAAAGCTTATATACTTTTCTTAATGAGCCTTAAGCCTCTCACCTAGAGCCTATTTACTCTTCCCTTATGGGTTTTGGGATTTTTCAGACTTAGTTGTCTGACTTCCAAAGGTTCCCACTATGGATAGGCTAGTTACTAACAATTAGCTAGGTCACACAAACTGCTTATATAGGTAGTGGCTGATAAAGTATGTATCCCTAACCATGCTGCATGTGACAAAGAATTCAGCTTTCCTTCCAAAGGGAGAGATAGGGAAATGCTTTTCCAAATTCTATTCCAGAAGGGGCATCTTAAAAGTTTGATTTAAATTTATTTTTTTAATAACATTTAAAAAACTATAGTAAAAAGCAATACTCAGATATGTTATGTACTATCACTGTTGAGCAGTGTCTGCCATGCCCTTTTCTTGACTTTTTTATCTTTCCACTGTGAAAATAGCTTCCTCTGGGTAAGAGGAACCATAATTTTATCCTCTTTATGATACATGTTCACTTGAAATTAGTCTGAAAGAAACTCTGTTAATATAGCAGAAAGGGAAAAAATTAGAAAAATAAAGCAAGAGGCTGCATGTGTGAAGGCTTCAGAAAGTTCATGGAAAAATTCCATATCTGTTCATTCAGTTTTTCCACACTTTTTGAAGCCGTCTCCTATTTGGGAAACTTTCTGTAAGTGACTTATATTTGTTGTCAATTAAACCAGTCACTTTTGAATTTCTTACGAGTGAACATAGTAGGAAATAGTATTGACTTTATATTTTTAGAATAGCATTAAGATTTTAAGTGAAAACACACCAAAAAAAAAAAAAAACCAAACAAACATTTTTTTTTAGCAGTATGTATGAGTTCTTTGTACCAAGTATTGAGTTAAATGCGTAAAATACGTAATCCTTTCAACTTTATTATGTTGTTGTTAAGTGTCATTGAGTTGGTTCCATCTCATAGCAACCCTATATGGGGTTTCTGAGAGGTGGCTGGTGGTTTTGAACTGCCAAACTTGCAGTTAGCAGTCCAGTGCTTAACCTATGGTGCCACACCAGGACTCCACACATACACTTTAAGGGGAAAAAAGAAACAAATGAAAACCATGTTAGGGGCCATGTTCCTTGTAGGACTACCCTAAAGAACCCTGTTTGTTTGTTTGTTAACTTTTTATTGTGAGTTAAATGAAGGTTTACATTCAACAACTCATCTACTTTGTTTTATTATAATGATTGCAGTCCCCCCCCACCACCATCAGTTACCAGTATTTACCTCCATTTCCCTTAATTCTTACACTCCTTCCGGTGTCTCCTGCTACCTTCATCTAACCTCTACCATCTTACCTCTTTTTGTATGTTGCTGGCTCCATCACTCTTGTAAACATGTGTCTACCCTCTAACCCTTGAATAATTCCTTCTCACCCACCACCACCCACCCTGGTAACCATCATAGAATATTTCATTTAGCAAGAAAATTTTGTCTTTTTTTTTATAGCAGTGGCCTCATATAATATTTGTCCTTTGTGATTGATTGATTCATTTCACTCAGTGTAATGTCCTCCAGAAAGAACCCTGTTTTATCTTTAAGCTTCATACATTTTTACATGAAATATTAAATTCTTAACTTTCAATAAACTAAAAAGTTAAAGACAGATGCTATTATTTTTTCCTATGTTACAGATGGGCAGCAGAGCTTTGTGATATAAATAGTGTACTTTCGGGAATTTAGAGCCATACTGTTGTTGTTGTTATGTGCCGTGGTGCCGGTTCTAACTCATAGCAACCCTGTACAGGGTTTACAAGGCATATAGATTATATAAATCATACTGTCTTAAAATTTATATATTATTTGCTTGCTTTAAATTTTTTTTTAACTTTCTGTTGTGGAAATTTCAAGTTATTGAAAAATAAAAAGAATAGTGTAATGAACCCAGTGCTTCAATAGTTATCATCAAGATGGCCAAACTTGCTTTACCTGCACCCTAATTCATTCCCTCACCCCACTACTCTCAAATGATTTGGAATCAAATCCTATCCATCACATTGTTTCATCTGTGTCTTAGTCATCTAGTTGTAAGAGAAATACTACAAATGGGTGGCTTTAGCAGACATGTATTTTCTTACTGTTTGTTGTTGTGAAGTGCTGTCGAGTTGATTCCAACCCATAGCGACCCTGTATGGGATTTCTGAAAAGCAGCTGGTGAGCTTGAACCACCGACCTTACAGTTCAAACTGACTTTGCAGTCCAGTGCATTAACCCACAGCGCCACACCAGGACTCCTCTCACAGTGTAGAAGGCATGGAAATCCAAATTCAGGGTCTGGACTCTAAGGGAAGTCTGTCTATTTCTGCTGGCTCTGAGGGAAGGTCCTTGTCTCTTTGCAGCTTGTTTCTTTTTCCTTGGAGACCTCTTTTGGGGTGGCATCTATCTTCCCCCATCTCTGCTTGCTTTCTGCTTACTTACTACTTGCTTAGTCTGCCCTTTTATATCTCAAAGAGACTGACTGAACACGCACTGTTTACTAATCCTGCCTCACTAACATAACAAAGAAAATCACAGGTATAGTAGGAATTACAACACATATATGGGGGGACACAATTCAATCCTAACAACTCGTAAATATTTTTGAAGTCGAGCTATTGTTGTTGTTGTTAAGTGCCTTCAAGTTGATTTAACTTGAATGACCCTATATAGGATTTCCAAGGAGCACCTGGTGGATTTGAACCACTGACCTTGCCAGCTAGTGCCTATCCTACAGCACCACATAATACCATTAATTTGACCTAAAAAATTAGTAGTGATTTCATGGTGGTGGTGACTGTGTGCCGTGGTGGCTGTGTTCCAACTCATAGCAACCCTGCATAGGGTTTCTGAGACTGTAAATCTTTACAGGAGCAGAAAGCCTCATCTTTCTCCTGCTGAACAGTTGGTAGTTTTGAACTGCTGACCTTGGAGGTTAGCAGCACAACTTGTAACCACTATGCTACCAGAGCTCCTTAAATATCATCAAATGTGCAACCAGTATTTATGCTTTCCATTTATCAAGCAATTTTTAAAATGTGTTTGACTTAGAATACAAATAAGGCTCATATATTACAAGTGATTGATAAATCCCTTCTTGTTGTCAACTGCCATTGAGTCAGTTCCAACTGACTCTGTATAGGGTTTCTGAGGCATTTTAAATCTTTGCGGGAGTAGAAAACCTTATCTTTTCTCCTGAGGAGTGGCTGGTAGACTTGAACCATGAATCTTGTAGTTTGCAGTCATGTGCTTATTGTATGAAAATGCCGCGAGTGTGTGTTAATCCATAAGTTCCTCTTTTCTTTAGGTTGCGTTTTATCTTTTGCCATTTACTTGTTGAGTGAACTAGGTTATTTGCCCTGTCCAATTTCCCATAGTATGTGTTTTGCTGATTACTACCTTATATTATCATATCATACGTTCCTCTCCCTCTGTATTGCCTAGATCCTTATAAAAATAGAGCTTTGATCAGATTTAGGCTCCACCACTTTAAAATAAATAAAATTGTTTTGTAAACAGATAAGAGTGTAAGCCTAATTATAAAGTCTAGTGTTTTAATTTGAGTAGGATGGGGGATTATTTGTTTTATTTTGTTTGTTTTAAAAATATGTCCAGAATCCCTGTATGTGTGTGTTTTTGTTTGCCTTGACCATTGCAAAAAGACGTGCTGGCTCATCTAGAAAGAAAGCAACTCTGGATAAGGAGTAGAGAGGCCTGCCTCCTAGCACTCCCTGTGTCTCTTGTATGGTAGCCACAGAAAATGCTAGAAAAAGTGTTTCCTTTCTAAAATTAAAACTTTTTAACAAATTACTCCAGATTTCCTTCTACCTCAGAGTACTGTGTTAAGCCTAACCATATGTATTTGTTAAGCATGGAAGTGTTCAAAGTGTATATGTGTATATTTTCCAAACTGCCACTTAAAGATAATTTAGCCCTTTTTCTTTTCCTTCTAGCTATTGTAAACATATGACAACCTATGAAGAATCAAATTATTCTCTGAGTTATCAGTTTATTCTGAATCTTTTCTCCTTCCTGCTAAGAATAAAGACATCCTTTCTCCATGAAGAAGTGAGCTTAATTGAAAAGAGACTTTTTAAAAAAAAATATAGTAAAACAAAAATTAAATCTTCAAGATCCAAGAAAGTAAGAAGATGTTGAGAAAAAATGAAATAGAAACTTTGGTGCAGCAGTCATTTAATAGTGACAATAATGTGTCAAACTGGAATGTAACATTCTAGAGAATTGTGAAAAATAGGATTTTATTACACACATACATGGTACCATATATGTGCATCTGGGTATATATATGTGTATGTATGTATGTATGTATATTTGATACATATATTTGTATTAACTATGCTTATAAAGATATATAATGGAAAACAGTTGAACTTTTCAGTTATTTTTAAAAATATTAATGTTCTTTGAATAAATTAAAACAAGTTATATACATTATTTTTATTTTCTAGAAATATAGAATTTTTATGGAGGGTTTATGTAGAGTTGGTGTTACTATTTGACTGTTTTATAATGAAGCACACCCAAATCTGTAGTGGGAAGGTTTCTCAATATAAATACAATTACCTTAATAGGTATAGGGGCTGTTTAGTTATTTGTTTATTCTTGAGAAAGATTTGCTCTTCGAAAGATACTGTTAATGGAAGTGGAAAGCGAAACTGGGGTAAAAAATTTACAAAACCTATCTGACTGCATCCAAATGGTCAATATTTATGTGAAAGCAAAGATGAGAAGAAGGAAAGGGGGCAGGGAAAATAGATTACTGGAAATAAAACAACCAGAAGAGAAATAATAAAACACTTGATATACTATGGAAAATGTAACCGATGTCACTGAACAAATGGTGTAGAAATTGTTAAATTAAGAAACTAATTTGCTTTGTAGGCTTTTACCAAGAACACAGTAAAATGTGATTTTAAAATCAGTTGACCATGTGATGGGGAGTTTGGTAACAATTAGAGGTGATGATGACAATTAGAGGTGATGAGTATTGTCGTTGGTATCACTGAATTGCACACCTGAAAAATGTTGTATTGGAAATGTGTTAGATAACAAAAAGAACTTTAAAAATGCATTCAGGGGGCTTCAACAAGTTCATGGAAATATTCCATTATCTTTGAATTCCATTTTTCCTCAAACTTTTTGAAATCCTACAGAATCAATACGAAGAATTCTTAGGGAACCTACTACAGCCATCTTTAAAGTTCATGAACAGCTTCAGCGATGAGAAAACATATCCATATTGCAGAAGGCTACCTGTGACTCATATGGGCAAAGGTGTAATTTTACTTAATTTTTTTCCAACCAGCATGCATCCTCAGGGAATCTCTTGCTTTCCAGGCAAGCAGAGCCACTTGGAGGTTGTAAGCCCAAGGAAGAGGCTATATACAATAACCCCAGTAGGACAGGCTCTCATCTAAATCTACAAAGTCAACCCTGGCCAACCCTTGACTGGCTATCTCTAGGAGAGAGAGTTGAACAGACACATGGGCTAGAGAGAAAAAAGCTGGGGGCATGGGGAAGGAAGGGAGGCCGGGGAGCTGTGTGGGCCAGCCGGACTCATCATGGCCATTTTGAACTACCTCAGGTGACTGTGAAGGCAAATGGCACACTGATTATTTATTGGTGGAGAGAAAGCCATTGACTTTCAGTTTTCACTGTATGGCTATTTTTTGTTTGTTTGTTTTCCTCCTCCTTGCATCACATGATAGGAGATAGCAACTGTGGCCAAAATTCCAAGCCACAGCCAGACCTAAAACCCCACCAATTGGACAAGAGCCAATACCAGAGGCAATACACCAGAGCTGTAACTACAACTAGCATTGGCTAAATCCACTATGAACTGAACTGTACAAACAGTGATCAGAGATGCTCATCTCCTGATCACACCCACAAGGCGGCAATTGGTGAATGCCTAATACACTAACATATATTCCTCAACTTAATTCAAATGCAACAACACCACAATACCTACAAAGCAGAAATTTTCTGTTCACATGAAAAAACAAGACAGAGTGGCTCAAACAAGTGATGGGCATTTAGGTTGTTTCCATGCTTTTGCTGTTGTGAATGGTGCTGCAATGAATATGGGTGTGCCTCTATCTGTGTTCTGGCTCTTATTTCTCTAGGATGTATACCAAGTAGAGGGCTTGCTAGATCGTACAGTATCTGTATTTCCAACTTTTTGAGGAAGCACGTTCTCCATTGTGGTTAGGCCACTTTACAGTCCCACCAGCAGTATAGGAGGGTTTGTCTCTTCCCATCCTCACCAGCATTTGTTGCTTTCTGGAATTTTTTTTTTTTTTTTTTTTTTAATGTTGCTATTAAGGAGTCCTGATGTGGTGCTGTGAGTTAATGCACCAGACTGCAAAGCCATTTGAACTGCAAGGTTGGCAGTTCAAGCTCACCAGGTGCTCCTCGGAAAATATACAGGGTCGCTATGGGTCAGAAATGACTCAACAGCACTTAACAACATTAAGGCTGAGGTGAGGTGATATCTCATTGTTGTTTTGATTTACAACTCAATAATGAAGTCCTGAAGTGATGCTGTAGGATAAGCACTGGACTGCTAAACACAATGTCGGCAGTTCAAACCTATCAGCTGCTCCTTGGAAACCCTATACAGGGTTGCTATGACTCAGAACCAACTCAATGGCACTTAACAAAAGCAATGACTAATGATTGTGAACATTTCTTCCTGTTTGCTGGCTGCCTGAAAGCCATCTTATGTAAAGTGTATGCTCATATACTCTGCCCAGTTTTTAAGTAGATTATTTCTGGTTTTGTTGCTGGAATGTTAAAGTTCTCTATACATTTTAGAGATTAGTCCCTTGTTTAATATGTCATTGCCAAAAATGTTTTCGTAGTTTGTGGGTTTTCTTTTTACTCTTTTAGTGAAATAGTTTGATACAGATGAGAGTATAAGGTTTAGGAGGGCCTAGTAAGGAACTCTGGTAGCATAGTGGTTACGAATCGGGCTGCGAGCCGCAAGGTCAGCAGTTCGAAACTACCAGCTGTTCCGCGGGAGAAAGATGAGGCGTTCTGCTCCCGTAAAGATTTCCAGCCTCGGAAACCCTGTACAGGGTCGCTATGAGTCGGAACCGACTCCACAGCACATAACAACAACAACAACAAAGAAACCTTGCTTGTCATCTGCTGTGTGTGTGTTTTCTGTTATGCTTAATGGTGTGTTTATGCCATATATTAGAGCCCCTAAGTTTGTCCTATTTCATCATTGATCTTTAAAGTTATAGGTTTTGTATTTAGGTCTTTGATCCATTGTTAGTTCATTTTTGTATAATGTGTGATGTATGGGTCTTGGATACCCAATTTTGCCAGCACCATTTGTTAAAGAGAGTATCTCTTCCCCGTTAAATGTTTTTCACCCCTTTGTCAAAGATCAAATGACTGTAGGTGGATGGATTTACTACTTTTTTCTCAATTTTGTTCCATTGATCTATAATGAAATCCATTGATTTCATTGTAATAGTCCCAGACTATCACAGTGACTACTGTGATTGTGTAGTAGGTTTTGAGATCAGGAAGTGGGTGGTCTCCTACTTTGTTCTTCTTTTATTAATGCTTTGCTTATCTGGGGTCTCTTTCTTTTCCATATAAAGTTTATGATTAATTTTTCTATCTCTTTAAAGGATGTTGTTGAAATCTGGGTTGGGATTGTGTTATATTTATAGATCAGGTCTTATTGACATTTTCACATCTTAAGTCTTCCTATCCAATGACATGGTACATTCTTCTGTTTTGTTACATCTCTTTTGGTTTCTTTCGTAGTATTATGTTGTTTTCTTTATATAGGTCTTTTGTTTCTCTGGTTAGATTTATTCCTAAGTATTTCATCTTTAGGGTGGCTATTGTAAATGGCATTATTTTCCTGATTTCCTTTTCAAAACTTTCCTTATAATGCAAAGGAATCCAACTGATATTTGTACCCTGCCACTTTGCTGAATCTTTCAGTGAGTTCCAGTCATTTGTTTTGCTGAGTCTTTTGGATTTTCTACTATGAAATACTAAGAATATTTAAAGCTTTTACTGTATCCCAAAGGTATTTTATGTTGTGTTTTCATTCCTATTTAATTCAAGGAGTTTTTAAGTTTCTTCTATTACCCAATAGTTTTTAAGCTGGGTGTTATTCAATTTCCATGTATTTGTTTTTGTTGTTGTTGTTGTTTTCTTGGCTCTCCCTATTAATGATTTCTGATTTCATAGCTTTGTGAGGAAATGCTTCATAGAATTTGATGTTTTAAAATGTATTAAGGTTTGTTTTGAGACCTGACAAATAGTCTGTTATGGAGAATGTTCCATATGCACTGGAAAAGATAGCATATTGTGATGTTGTTGGGTTGAAGTGCCCCCATGAACTACTTCTGGATTGAGTGCCCGGAACACACATAATATTGAAGTGGGTAGGAACTCCATCTAGGACCAGGACCTCTGCTGTCACATCCCTCCCACTCCCACTTCATGACTTCCTTGAATTGTAGAAGCCTCCAGAGATTTCTTCTCTCTGGGTCCAACAATTGCCCTGTTTTTTTGTTGTTGTTGTTTTGGATTTTTTTTTTTTTCCTTTTGTTGTTTCTGTTTTCTTTATTTATTCTTCTTTTTCTCTTTCCATTCCCTTGAATTTTTTCTATCTCCACCTTTGTTTTTCTTTCGTTTCTAATATTTCTCATTTCCCCTCTTCTTTTTTATTTTCCCTTTGATCATTCTTTACTACTCTACTCTCTTTTTCTTTTCCTCTTTCCTCTTCCTGGTTTTTCTAAGTTTTTTTTTCTTTCTTCCTTTTAGTTCCTTTATCTTTTTCTTCTATACCACCATTTTCTTTTCTCTTTTTCTGTCCCTTTTTTTTTTCTTTTTAGTCAGTCCTAAATGGGTTTTTTTTTCCTTTTTTATTTTCTCTTCTGTAGCTCCATTTTCTTGCCTCTCTTTTGTCTTTATAGTTATTACACTCTTTTTTTCTAGTCACTGCCTGTTTTTATTTCTTTTCTGTATTATCTTCTCTTTTCATTGTTGGTTCCTTTTTGTTTATCCTCTTTTGTTGTCTTGTGTGGGATATTTGGAGGGATTTCCTCTTTCCCATCCAACAGGAGTCAGCAATGTGCCCATGCAACCAAGCCTGTTCGCTCTACAGTTTCACCCACTGGGCAACAGCCAATACCAGCTCCTGTATCACCTGATCAATGATAGCTGCCAATATCAACCAAGCCCACCCTAAGCTGAAG